ACTTTTATTGGTCGCGCGCAACCCTTTCGCACGAAATGGACGTTGGACGTCAAAAACTGAGGTAAAATTGCAACTTTGAGGTGTCGCGCGCAACCATTTCGCACGAAATGGACGTTGGACGTCAAAAACTGAGGAAAAATTGCAACTTTGAGGTGTCGCGCGCAACCCTTTCGCACGAAATGGACGTTGGACGTCAAAAACTGAGGTAAAATTGCAACTTTGAGGTGTCGCGCGCAACCCTTTCGCACGAAATGGACGTTGGACGTCAAAAACTGAGGAAAAATTGCAACTTTGAGGTGTCGCGCGCAACCCTTTCGCACGAAATGGACGTTGGACGTCAAAAACTGAGGACGACTTTGAGTTGTCAATCGCAACCCTTACGCACGAAATGGACGTTGGACGTTAAAAACTGAGGTAAAATTGCCATGGACGCTTTCGTTTGTGTAAAAGTGCCTGTGTGTAAAAGCGTCTGTGTGTAAAAGCTTCTGTGTGTAAAAGCCCCTGTGTGTAAAAGCGTCTGTGTGTAAAAGCGTCTGTGTGTAAAAGCATCTGTGTGTAAAAGCGCTGTGTGTAAAAGCTGTGTGTAAAAGCTTCTGTGTGTAAAAGCGTCTGTGTGTAAAGGAGTCTGTGTGTAAAAGCTTCTGTGTAAGAGCGTCTGTGTGTAAAAGCTTCTGTGTGTAACGGCTTCTTTGTGTAAAAGTGTCTGTGTGTAAAAGTGTCTGTGTGTAAAAGTGTCTGTGTGTAAAAGCGTCTGTGAGTAAAAGCGTCTGTGTGTAAAATCGTCTGTGTGTAAAAGCGTCTGTGTGTAAAAGCGTCTTTGTGTAAAAGCGCCTGTGTGTAAAAGCTTCTGTGTGTAAAAGCCTCTGTGTGTAAGAGCTTCTGTGTGTAAAAGCCTCTGTGTGTGAAAGTGTTTGTGTGTAAGAGCGTCTGTGTGTAAAAGCGTCTGTGTGTAAAAGCGTCTGTGTGTAAAAGCTTCTGTGTGTAAAAGCGTCTGTGTGTAAAGGAGTCCGTGTGTAAAAGCGCCTGTGTGTAAAAGCTTCTGTGTGTAAAAGCGTTTGTGTGTAAAAGCGTCTGTGTGTAAAGGAGTCTGTGTGTAAAAGCTTCTGTGTAAGAGCGTCTGTGTGTAAAAGTGTCTGTGTGTAAAAGCTTCTGTGTGTAAAAGCGTCTGTGTGTAAAGGAGTCTGTGTGTAAAGCTTCTGTGTGTAAAAGCGTCTTTGTGTAAAAGCGTTTGTGTGTAAAAGCGTCTGTGTGTAAAAGTCTCTGTGTAAGCGTCTGTGTGTAAAAGCCTCTGTGTGTGAAAGTGTGTGTGTGTGTACAAGAAAAGCGTGTGTGTGTGTATGCGTGTGTGTGGGTGTGAAAGCTTCTGTGTGTAAAAGTCTCTGTGTAAGCGTCTGTGTGTAAAAGCCTCTGTGTGTGAAAGTGTGTGTGTGTGTAAAATAAAAGCGTGTGTGTGTGTGTGTTTGTGTGTAAAAGCTTCTGTGGGTAAAAGTGTCTGTGTGTAAAAGTGTCTGTGTGTAAAAGCGTCTGTGTGTAAAAGCGTCTGTGTGTAAAAGCCTCTGTGTGTAAAAGCGTCTGTGTGTAAAAGCGTTTGTGTGTGAAAGTGTGTGTGTGTGTAAAAGCATCTGCGTGTAAAAGCGTTTGTGTGTAAAAGCCTCTGTGTATGACACAGGTTATTTCATTTTATTTTGGAAAATCCCACATAAATGGCCCAAAAAGATCGGTACCATGATGCTGTAACTCACACATGTGACAAGACTTCACTAGTGAAATGTCTGCAAACGTTTGCACAAAAAAAAAGGTCCAATACCATAATGCAGTAAATGACACGCGTTATCTCATTTTATTCTGGGAATATCCCACAGAAACTATCAAAAAAGCTCGGTACCATGATGCCGTGTATGACACATGTCATTTCATTTTAGTATGGAAAATCCCACAGAAATGGCCCAAAAAAGCTCGGTACCATGATGCTGCGTATGACACATGTTATTTCATTTTATTATGGAAAATCCCACATAATTGGCCCAAAAAAGATCGGTACCATGATGCTGTAAATGACACATGTGACAATACTTCACTAGTGAAATGTCTGCAAACGTTTGCAACAGAGCTCGATGCCATCATGTGCTTGATGTCAAAAACAGAACAGTTTGAGTTCAGGACCATAAAATGTCATATAGAGACACTCTTCAAAAGCTTCTGTGTGTAAAAGCCTCTGTGTATGAAAGTGTGTGTGTGTGTGTAAAAGCATCTGCGTGTAAAAACCTCTGTGTGTAAAAGCGTCTGTGTGTAAAAGGGTCTGTGTGTAAAAGGGTCTGTGTGTAAAAGCGTTTGTGTGTAAAACTGTCTGTGTGTAAAAGCTTCTGTGTGTAAAAGCATCTGCGTGTAAAAGCTTCTGTGTGTAAAAGCGTCTGCGTGTAAATGTGTCTGTGTGTAAAAGCGTCTGTGTGTAAAAGTCTCTGTGTGTAAACGCGTCTGTGAAAGCGTCTGTGTGTAAAGGAGTCTGTGTGTAAAAGCTTCTGTGTAAGAGCGTCTGCGTGTAAAAGTGTCTGTGTGTAAAAGCGTCTGTGTGTAAAAGTCTCTGTGTGTAAAAGCGTCTGTGAAAGTGTTTGTGTGTAAAAGCGTCTGTGTGTAATTTCACAACTTTCCCCTCCATAGCTCATATCAAATTCACCAACCATTCACCGACTATTTTTTAGGACTACCATACTCAGAGCTGCTTGAAGGACGTGTTTTTCGCTCTGGGGCCAACCGTCGTCTAGTTGAAAATAGCGATAATGAATCATCAATCAGAATCTAGATCACCAAATATATTAGATGGTGTATTTTCTGATCTAGAATATCATTCACCAAGTATTAGTGACAATTATGATCTAGAGATGTGGGTGAACATATTGATTGAACCCACCAAAAAAGATGCTGTAATCTATTTGGGAAAGATTCCAGAGTTGCCCAATATAGTTTATAATCCAAGATGCTGGGTATCCCTGTATATCTTCAAATTCGGTTAAACTACCAACAAAGAATAGTCACAAACATTGATGTGTTTGAAAATAGCATCATAAATAACATATGGACATTTTTAACTGGTTTTCAAACCATTGTAGGAAGATTTCCCGCTGGTTGCAAAATGAGGGCATGCCCCAAATATGGCATGGAAATCTCGCAAACTTGTTTCCGTATCAAGGGTACATTTTTACTGCGGAAGACTAGGTCTTACACGGCTTTTGGGGTACCCAATTTCGGACAACTGCATATATAGTCATGATAAAAGGAATACCCTCTGGTGAACTAACATAGCAATGGAAAATCACCATTTTTCATGGGAAAAATCACTATAAATGGCCATTTTCCATTGCTATGTTAGTTCACCAGAGGGTACCTTAGTTGGTCTGACGGAGATTCTGACATGTATAGAATATGTGCTGCAACGATTGTATGGCTGGTATTGGTGGAACGGATCAAGACCGGTTGAGCAACAACACATGCTGAGTTCGCCAGATTGTATCCCCATTGAGTCCCTATGATTGTTGCTTGTCATCATTACAAACCCAAATGGATTTGTCTGAAAATAGGCTACCCCAAAATCAAACGGCGAATTTCATCATGTTCCCATCATTTTCCCTATGAGCATTGCCATAGAACTACCGGGTTTTCAGACACACCCAATGGTTTATGCTGCTGGCCAGGGAGGTGAAGTACCGATGATTCCGATGAAGATCATTCCGATGCCATCGGATCCTCCAAGTTCACATTTTTTCTAACTTGTCATTAGGTCATTAGGAAAACATCATGGTTTAGCACATCCTTAGGGTATTTGCAACATCAAAAAGACCTTGGGTGCTGCTGTCTCCATCCTACCATTGCCTCTGAGGGCACCGTGGCTAGCGTGGCATCGTCGCCCTATCACAGCCCGCTGAACAGTTGGGCGCTCTGGCGCCTCAGTAGCCGTGACAGCAAAAACAGCGGCGGACTCTGGGGCCGCCGCAGCATGGAGTTGGGCCCACGCGCCAAGAGGAAGTTGCATCCCAGCCGAAGGGATGGTTGGAGGAGGTGGAGGATCTTAGAGTTGGAGATGTTCGGGGCTTAATCTGGGGATATGTTATACATAGATACAAGTACACACACATATACTGTATTACATATACAAATGATTGATGTCTTTTGAAACCTGCAAACTTCAAATTGTTTTCATTTCCAGGAATTGCGCGGTCCAGTTTTGACCCCATTGAGGGACAGGGCGTAAATCATTTGTGAGATTAAACTGGGATCAACGAGGTAGGGGTAAGACAAAACTAGACCCGGGGTCCACGCATTTTAATGGGGATATAAAAGAAATATCATGGAACATAATTATGGTATCATGGGATAATCCCCTCCAAGGCAACCCTAATAGTGTTCTTTACAAGTCATATTGTTTTTATTTCTGAGGATCCAATTGGGTGTCCGCGATTTTGACCAAGACCTCCATGACAGGATCATTCTTCATCATTCTTCATCATTCTTCATCATTCTTCATCATTCTTCATCATTCTTCATGAAACCAAAATCCTTCCTCACCTCTGTCCTGCTAGAAATGTGCCCAATGTTAGCATTTGGTAGTTGAAATCCATCCAAATCCGCAGAAAAGATTAAAAATCCGGTCATGTTTATTTGGGTCGATCATATTGAGTCATACGTGTTGAGAGGGGAATCATGGGTTATGTGTTCTTTTTGTAAGAGAACAGTTACTTACAGGAAACCGGACATTCAGCACATCTAGATACATTTAGCATTGTGGATGAAGGTGTTTCTTGTGGATTTTTCTGAGAGCAATACATACATACATATATATATATTTCTTATGTTCATCATGCTGTTCATGCGCCCGTGGTTTGAACTATGTTCAATTTTCATCCATTTACCTCAGATGATGATCTAAATTGCCCAGTCCATAATGTAAGATGGCTTGAAACCAGCAGAAAACTGTCGTGCTGTGCGAAGTCCATCTGAGGCAGACCATGAATACGTCCGTGAAGGTGCGACTGGGGAGAGGGAGAGGATGAGTGCATGTCATTTTCAGTTTCATGTTGCAAAGAAATTTGTGCTTCAAAATCATTCGGGGTCCGAACACTCTAATCATTTCCAAGAATCTTAAATTCTCAATTTTCTTCATCGCCATTGAGATGATTTGATGCAACGATCCACGTCTCGGTATGTCTGGGTTGTTTCACTGTCAGCTGATGTCGGTTTTTGTTGGATGTTGACAGAATCTCAGGGTGGTGTGGTCCACCGATATGATCGCAGCATGTTAGCGACCGGTGGTTTTTAGTGGACGCCGCTGCTTTGTGTTCGGTTTCTGAATACCATTTTTATGACCTGTCATCTTTCAGACATCTAACATACCCTTTTGTGACCTACTGTGACCTGGGAACGGAACCCTTTCGGAATTGACAATCATTGGTTCCATGATTTTCAACCATGACACATTTGCCATTAATTTTTCCCAGTTTTTGGTGGCGAAAAAACCAGGACATGGCGGGGTATGCCTCAGAAGTGGCTGGAAAAGCGGTGAACAAAATGAAGAACTTCGCCCTACAAAGGCCGCCGGGGACGGGACATGGCTTCACCGGTGGCTTTTTTAGTGGCCATGGTGAAGTTACTAACGGCTTGTTTTTTCGACATGAATCCATTAAGGATTTACCCTCTGGTAAACTAACATAGCTATGGAAAATCACCATTTTTAATGGGAAAATCCACTATAAATCACCATTTTCAATAGCTACGTTAAATTACCAGAGGGTATACACCCATGTTTTCAGGCTGCAATATTGATAGAATATGATAGATGTATTTTGTAGAAATGACTTATATATCTTGACCCATTGATTCATTCTAAAAAACATGTTCTGACGGGGAAATGAAGAGAGGATGTGTAAAGCCATTAGTTGGCAACTACTCCAATGACCCCATTTTGTCTTGGTATCAGACCCATGAAGGTGTGCTGTCACTCCTCCCTCCATTCCATCCAGGAATTTTGAGCCGTGGTTTTTTCGGTGGCTTCGGTTAATTTTGCATAGCCAAGCGGTGGGCGTTGTTTTCAATTGCTGGTTTTCATGGTCAAAAGCCAGGGGTCTCCATTGAATTTTCCCACGATTGTTGGCTTCCCAGGAAGCTGAAACGTGGCATTGGGCGCATGGAGTTCACCAGCAAAGTGCTGGTGCGCAAGGCCATGGCGGAGATGGGGGCCATGGGGTGATATACATATGAGTGCGGTGAAAGGTTTACGAAAAAGGCAAGAGGTTTAAGGTAAAGCATATATTTGATTGATAGATAGATAGATTAGATTAGATTAGATTAGATTAGATTAGATAGATAGATAGGTAGATAGGTAGATAGGTAGATAGGTAGATAGGTAGATAGGTAGATAGGTAGATAGGTAGATATATATATATATATATTGTGTGTGTAATAGAAATAACAAGTAGCAAAAGTTATACTATACTCACACATATATATATATATAATACTAGTAATAGCAATAAGACAGTAATAGTAATAAATGTAAATATTGTATATGTATATATATATATATACATATTGTAGCACTAAGGCATCCAATTTTCACCGTGTCAAACATTCAGAGAAAACACACATAAAAAAAAAAATGACGGGAATGTCGCCCACGACCTCGAGGGCAGTGGCTCATCAACAAGATAGGGAATGCCGGCAGTGATATGGAGGTTTCCCAAAATGGGGGTGCCTCCAAAGGATTCCAAAATTAGACCATGTTAGTATGGAAACCATGGATGGTTTTGGGGATCCCCCATTTTAAGAAACCCTCTTATGTGTGTATTCTAGTGGCTGATTAGGTCAATGCCATGATTTATTTAATGTTTTTTCTCTTAGAATGCCATTGTACCTGTCCATTAACCATGGAATTTCACCACGTGCATGTGGGGGTGTTTGGATGTATTCGGGTCTTTGCGAGATGTTTTTTTTGCAACAACTAAGTTTTTTTCAAATCCATCTCTGCTTGGCTTTCATGCTCCATTTCAGCAGGGGATGCTTGCAAATGAGGCACCTGTGATCAGTGGCTCAAAGCCATCCGCTGATCAGCTGGAATGCACCAAAGAGACTGCTATGGGTCACCAGTTGGGACAACCCAGGGATAGAGTTTGGTCAGCTGTATCCTCTTTTTTTTTTGAGCTGGCCAGCTTTTGACCATCACCACACTGGGTAGGGATTTTACATGACTTCACATCATGACATCGCAAAGTTGGTACTTGGTACATCTTGGTACCGAAACGTTGGTGAAGCCCGGCCTGCCATGTTCCGCCTGATGGAGCTGGGAGCTTTGGGGGGGTCGGCGCTGATTGCTGGCAGCATGTTCCTCTTCACCAGCTTCGTCAAGGCCCGGAGAACTCCCCGGGGGGTTCAAGTGAGATGACAAATACATGCAGATATACACTCGAACAGGTATGGGCAGCTGCCAGCTTCCATTGGATTTATATTTCTGAAACAAACTGCTTGGAGTGCGCAACTTCAAAACTCTAAAGATTCTAATGAGAAACTGATTCGAAGTGGAATTCGGCGCGACTCAACTTGATCGGGCAAACTGAATGCTGATGTTCATTTGCAAATGGTTTCATCAATTGAATCTCCAACTTCCCATTTTTCTAGTACTTTCCCATACTTCTTCCATTTTTAGAGCCCTTAGGCCACTGGAAGAGATACCTTGTGCCGCGCAGGATGCCTTTCCACCATTGAGCTTGGTGATGTTCCGCCTGCTGCTGGGCTGTGCCGGCCTGGCCCTGGCACAAGTGGGAGCGCAGGTCGGGGAACCCCCAAATTCGGGGAATCTATGGCATTGGGTACCCTCTGGTAATGACTAACATAGCTATTGAAAATGACCATTTATAGTGGATTTTCCCATGGTCCCATTAAAAATGGTGATTTTCCATAGTTATGTTAAATTACCAGAGGGTAAACTGTAAACTATGAATATCTATGCGGTAAAGTGGATATCTACGAGGCAATCTATTGATATCTATGGGGTAGTCTCTTGAGGTTGAGTAACCTATGGGTTGGAACGATCTTTGTTTTATGGAATTTATTGGATATATATATATATAATGGCCCCCTGAAGCAAATCAAAGAGGTTGGGGATGGGTCAAAAGCACCATGTGTAATCGGACATTCATGGAAAATCTAAGCATTAACTCCAATGGGACAGGTAGGTTTTTTTCTGCGGAAAGTTGATGGAATTGGCTGTTTGATGCTGTTTGATTGGAGCCAAGTGGGAATGGAAAACCGGTGCTTCAGCAGATCTATGCAGATCTCTGGAAGAATTTGGGCTATTAGTGGCAAGTTGAACAGTCGACAGTGGACACCCAATAAGAATTTATAGGGCATGAAACAGAGGGTATACACAATATTAGAAAATTGGTTCCTAGCTGATACCCCAAGAATAGAATTCGCCAATTCATGTGTTGTTGCTGGTTTCAAACATGTTTTTCCTACCTGGTGATCCCTGACTTCGATTACCAGGTGACTGGGCTGGACAAGGTGCACCTGTCTTTGGAGGCCTGAAAACGAAACGGATCTGGAATCTGGGCCTCCAATTTATGTCCATTTAAGAAGGGTAACATGATGATAAAGCATTGGATTTAAGAGGTACCGGGGTAGCCAATTTTTGGACAATTCCATCTCGATCTGCGTGAATGTCGACTTTGATTCACTACCGATCAGTTGAAGATGTGTAGTGAGGAAGAAGCGATGTCTATCCATTTACACATTCCTACGACACAGTTTCTTCGGGGTTGTTTTCATGTTTCCACCTTTTGGAGTGCTTCAAAACTACGTAACCATTCTCCTACCTTCCCCTTGGGAACCATCATGTGGTATGGTCTCGAGCTGCAAGTTGTCTAGGGTGCCTTTACTTTTCGGAGGAAAGTCGGAACCCTGGTTAAGAAATATTGGGGGCAACCTATCCCTTCTCTATTAAAAAAACGCCCAACAAGAACTCTCGTAAGATGTATTGGATCCATTCATAACTTGAGAATCCCCCCAAAAATTGGGGGTACTTGGTATTGGAGGGATACGAAATTACAACAAATTACACCACACCAAGGTCTCCCCATTCTCCGTGAAATCGCAGGAGACCCTGTACCTCTGTGCCATTGGCTGGAGCCTTGACGAAGATGGGATGCGAAGGGGCCCAGGCCATGCTGGGCCCCTGGCTTTGACGATTTTTTTGGGGAGATGACATGATAAACATCTGATCAACCAATGAATTAGGCTATGGTTCAGGGACCTATGTCATGAATTATATGAATTGTGGGTACCCAAATCTGTTAGAATCAGAGAAATTTGATGAAATTTCTGTGCCTGAAATTCGCTCGTCGCCATTTTGGGATTTCCCGCTTCACCGTTCTCCAAGGATGAACACGGTGCTGCCCTACAGCCTCTACGCTGCTGCCCTTGGGAAGGGCGAATCCGTTAGCGCCGCTTCGGCCTTGGTGCCTCGGAGATATCCCCATGGCTGATGCTCATTTTCAGCCAGATATATGATGATAGCGATATGTGTACATGTAGTATATATATATATATACTTACACCTATAGATACACATATATACATTGCACATATATTACATGTATAGATATGTATAGACATATCAACATATCATATACACACAGTTTTTCTGTATACACATGATATGTACACACTCATATTTATACAATGGTGCACACACACATATATATATATATAGATATCATTTATCATCATTTATCACATATTCCCATCATAGCCCCCCAGGCAGGCGCCACACCAGTCTTCACCGCCGGCCTCGCCATGCTGGTTCTGAAACTTCCCCGCGTCCACCGCGGCACGGAGCGCGGCGCAGCGCAGGAGTGGCGAGGCGCTCCGGGAGTGCTGGGGCCATGGCCAGGGCAGGTTTTCTTCTGGAGGTTTTAATGAAAGAAATTTGGAAAACAGATGTATCTACAATGTATCATATGTATCATTATGTATCTATTAGAAACAGATTCTGATACTAGAAATCAAACCAACTAATGGGATCTGGAATAATTTTTGAGTATTGTTCGGGAATGTAGTTCGAACATAATTGGACAAGTGTTGGGAGCAGTAAATTAAGAAATATGGAACACCCCACCATGTTTGGATCATTTCCCCACTAGGAATGTGATGGAGGTCCATCTCAAGGTCAGCTTAACGGAAGGCTATTGCAGTACAAACTTTGCACTAGCAGCAATTGGCTTGTCAGAATGGTAATCCAAAGAACTACCAGTGGATCTACAGTAGATGGCAAGTGATGAACTTCACATAATTTTCGTACCACCTTGTACCACCTCGTACCATCATCCATGGACATTCTGGAGCTATAGCGCTCTCAGGTCTTTTGCTGGGACTTTCTGGTGTTTCTGGGCTGCAAGGCCGTGTGGATTCTTCATCCTGGTATTCAGTTAGCAATGTTTGGCACCCCAAAATTCTGTGGTTCCCTGGTCGAAAATACTGGGTGTTTCTTCCAACTGCCCGCATCACCAATTCATTTTCTCGGTAAGAGAAATCAATGGCTGGGGTCTCCCACTACAGTATCTTTCTTGCGTCGCTCATGAAGAGGAACTTCATGGGTTCAACATCCTCCAAACTGTTTTGGGTGGTCAGATGCGGTCAGTCTTCTCCTGGAGCATGACTCTGTAAAGGTCTTATACCACTAGTGGCTTCACTCTTTATTTCCCACAGGATGATTCCCGACAAACACATAGTTTTCCAGAAGCAGGGGTCGTGGGACGGAGTGACTTTGACAAACATGTTGACAATGTTGCATTCTCTGAGATCTATCATGTCCTAAAAACATCAAAAAAACATTAAAACAACATCCACACCAGACACAAAAACAGAGAAACAGAACTGCAAACTCTGAGAAACATTGCCAAAAAACCTTGGGAAGTCCCAGAAGAACACTTGGAACATCAAACAACAGCCTGCTGCATGTGGGAGCCTCAACCTCCTTGGGATCTCTTGGGACCTCCAGCTTCGTGGCAGTTCCAGGTGTTTCTCATCGTTTTTCGCCGTGGCAGTTGGTCTCAGGGCAGCTTTGAGGGCCTGGGGCTGCAGCTGATGGGCGTGCTGTTGAAGGTGAAGTGGGGTGAAATCTGTGCTTCGAATCCATGTTGTCACATTGAATCAACATTATAATCAATACGATCCATGGGATAGATCAACACCATCTTTACCATCGGTTGATGGGGGATGAAGATCCGAAGAATTCCGAAGATCCTTTCACTTTTTGAAACGTCCAATGATGCAATGATGTTGATAGCCGGGGGGGAAGATGATTTCTTAAGTACCTAGGGAATCCAGGCGGTACATGGAGTTGGAAAGAAGCATCCAAGGGTCAATTGGTATCGGAAAATTCCAGATGTCTTTAGTTAACACGACGTATTGTAGTGCAATAGAATCAATAGAAATTAAAGATTGCATTCCTCCGTTTGTGGGTTGAAGATGGATCCATAGATGGTAGGATGGGTTTAGCTCGGACAACTGGTAGCCAGCACCTTTTTCCAACGCTGCTCTGAGTATCCATGTTGTCTTGGGATGGCCCTCGACACTGGAAGGTCCACTGCCAAACGTATGCCAAGAACGTTCTCCAAAATATCCAACCACTTTTCAATAACTTTCCAACTCCATCCAAAACTATCGAATAACAATGGTTAATGACTCAATAACCGTTTTTTTTTTGCCATGTCTTTTTCAATGTCCCTCGCTGCCCGGTCGCAGGCCTCCGCTGCGTGCCTGACGCAAGCGAAGAATTCAAGGAGACCTGGGGGCCTAGTTTAAGCCAGGATAGTTACATAGCCATAGCTACAATGACAATAGATTTCATGATGGCTATAACATGCTATAAACAAGGTCAATTATAGTTCATTATAAGTATATAGTTACTGTACTTGTAGTTGATTAAACGCAATACTGATGGGTGTATATTTAAATGTTTATTACGGAGGGATGTTTATTACGGAGGGTAAGGATAATTAATATATAATAAATGGGTATATTAACCCCTAATACTTAATCTCAATATGAATTTCCATTATGAATATCTTTTAAAATTCATATCCATTGCTATTAGGGGTAAGGAATTAATCATTCACGTCCGTACATAATATGAACCCCTCACAATCCATTAACATTCAGATTATTCCTGATAAATACGTACTAGCGGTGAATATGAATATATAATAATATATACCTGTTAAATGTAAGGAATCCAACCCATGATGGTGTTTTTGGGGCGCTGCACATTGGATAGTCTTAATCTTGGGTCCATTGGTACCTTTATTGATCCATCAGATCGGCCACCATCAGCAATTGGTGGCTGGCAGGATGGGCAGTAGGTCTTCCAACTGGTTTGATCTGCAGAATCCCAGTTCTGATGAGTTGCCGTTCAATTCCCAGGGTCCCAACTCATCAGACAATTCGTAACTGATTTCCATATCTGTTCGCAAAAATCCCAACCATACAAGGATTTTCAATATGCGAACATTGCCAGGGTTCATCAACCCAATGGTTCATTGATTTCCTATTAGATGAATTTCCTTATAGATTCCTGCACAAGATAGAGATCAAGGAAAAACTTGGGTTAAGGTGGGAAACCACCCATCCAACCATACCCCCAAAATTCATGATCTCAGATCCATTTTCTATCCATTGTTTAGGAGGGAACTAAGGAGCTAATAGCTAAGGGTATCCAGATTGCCTATTGAAGGGGAAGCCAAAGAGCTACGAACTGAGCTTCCCAAACGCATGATTGATGCCTATGTACTTATACCTATACTCGGTTAATCTGGATTATATGCCCAGTATTGTTGCTTTGTGCCACCATTTTTCTTGGTAATCTTGTATTCATACCCTTTTCCCCAGCGAAATCCAATTTTTTAGGTTGCTTAAATCATTAAAATCCATCCAGTCAGACATTGCTTGTGAAAAATCCACTATCTTTCCATTATATCAATTATATCCCCATTTTTTTTGGTTCAGAACTGGTTCACTTTCTCTCCCCAAACATGGGGCCGTTGAAACCGCCGTTCCCCCCATGGTGACCTCGAGGAAGCAGCGGGCCTCGCCGCTGCTGCAGGCGCTGGTGCAAGCTTTGTCGGGCGCCGGCCTCGCAGTGTCCTGATTGAACCATGAAAATCCATGGGAAATCAATGGGTAATTAACATGGGTAAATCCATGGTTAAATGGGTAATACATGGGTAATTCAACTATATTCTTTTAAAATATAGTTTAAATGAATGGGAATTACATGGGATATAGAAAGGGACATGTGGGAAGTAATGGGATGTAATTTGAATGATTTGATAGTTACATAATAACTTGTTAAAAGCTGGATATACGTATAAAAAAATAAATAAATGGGGTATTACTGTATATGTAATGGGATATACAATAAACTATTATCAGAAATTGGATACGTGCCATTGTCAAGTTACATGTTAGATGGTTGATTGTCATGTACGTCCGAGCATCATGAATGGGCATACGAATCCCCATTGATGTCAGATATCCATTCATATTGGAATATATATTTATGGGATGTAATTTTGATGTACAGTAGTTGATATTTTATGGACATGTCATATGGGAATATCTATGGTATATGACGTACCATTAAATCGGATGTTTCATAATTATGTCAAAAAGGATGTCCCATGATGTTTCCTAAATATGTCATTCCCATTTTATATAATATATATAATATAATATATATAATATATAATATATATAATATATAATATATATAATATATAATATATATAATATATAATATATATATATAATATATAATATATATAATATATATATATATAATATAATATATAAATAAGATAATATATATATAATTATAATATATAATATTATAATTTAATATGTTAGTTATATATTAGGATGTTTCATGGGATACATTAGCCTCCCATCACGGGCCGGGCGTGGAAAATCCAGGTCCTTCTCTCGCTGAGCCTGGATGCGACTGGAAGAACGCCTCACTGGCTGGATCCGATGGAGCTGGTGGATGGGAAGGGCACCTTGGAAATTGCAACGTTCATGTCATTGGCTGGGTAAATCTGCAGGATTTTCCATGGATTTTCCCATGAATTTCTAAAAGGGGGTTTCCTGTAATTTTTCCCTTCAACCAATCCATTGAGAATGGGAAATTCATGGGATATGAATGGGACATTGATGGGAAATTGAAGTGGGATATTCGGTGGCGCATGGTGGCGCATATTTGTTTTTCCTTGGGTTTGTCTTGTAAGCCCAAAGAGCTGAGTTCACCAGTGAAGTTGGTTTCAGTGACGATATTTTGGTAACCCAACATATTGCATCTGTTCTCATCGTTTCGAAAGTATGTGGTTAGATGTTTTGCTTGCTTAGAAACTGCTAATGTTGTTCTTGCTCGAAATCAGGGGACTTTCAAATCCCCAAGAAACTCTGCCATCTGGACTTGGAAACCCTCATGTTCATTCAAATCCAACATCATCCAAACTCATTGAACCACGATTTGCTGCTTTCATGTAGAATGTGTGGAGGGCACTTGGGTCACCCTCCTTGTGAGGATATGGCTTCCTGCAGAGGGTCTCGCGGTGGCAATGGCTCTGCTTACTCTGTCTTTCGCTGCTGGGAAGTTGTCTGGTCTACTTACTTCAGCCCCTCAGCTGCGCTGGGTAAACCCCATGGGGCTGTTCCGCCCCTGAGGAATCATGCGGTAAACTGCCAGAAACCATCCCTGGCAGAGGTTCGAATCATGGTTTATTGAATATTGTTAGCTATAGCCCTATTTGGGATGATGTAAAATGCCTCCAAATGGTTGGTTAATGAAATGTTTGATTATTGGGTTTACCACATTAAACTGTGTACCTGAAAGGTGGAACTTCCCCATGGCGCCCGCTACCTCCAGCTGCACAGCTGAAGGTTTTTCCTGCTGGCGCGTGTGGGAGCGGTGCGACAGAGCTTGATGGATCAATTGGCGATGCTCGGACTAGAGGCTCCCAGTGCTGAATGGACAACAAGTGGGTTTGCACAGGAATAGGGGACATGTCATACCCCACAATGACAACTTTTGATGGGGTGAATGATAAACAATCAACCGTCGGCTTTTATGCAGGAATTCTTGGTTTGTCACAGGGACCCTTCGCTACTTCCCCAGTCTCTCAGGGTTCAAACACTTCAATTTTTCAATGGTGGTTATATAATGTTATATATATATTATACATACATACATACATATATATATATATATACACAGCCAGTGACTCATATATACACAGTCAGTGAGTCACTGGGTGCAATCTACATATCCCCACGTTGGGGGAGATGAAACCATTGGCCAGTGGATGCCACTGGCTTTCCTGTTCCTAGGCTAGTCATTGGCGTCTTCGAAGGAGGCTTCTTCCGTGGAGAATGGTTGGGGGGCCCAGCGGAGAGCCGGCACCAAGGGAGGGGAACGAACGGCGAAGGCGGTGCGGAAGAGGCAAAGGAGAGAATCAAAAGGATCTAATGTGGTGGACCCAAGAGATAACACTACCTATCCTACCTATCCTACCTATCCTACCTATCCTACCCATCCTACTTACCTAACCTACCTACCTACGTACCTACCTATCTATCTATCTATCTACCTATCTGCCTACCTATCTGCCTACCTATCTGCCTACCTATCTACCTATCTACCTATCTACCTATCTACCTATCTACCTATCTACCTATCTACCTACCTACCTGTCTGTCTGTCTATCTATCTATCTATCGATCGATCGATCGATCGATCCTATCCATCCTATCCATCCTATCCATCCTATCCATCCTATCCTATCTTATCCTATCTTATCAAATCTTATCAAATCTTATCTAATCTCATCTAATATCATCTATTCTTATCTAATTTTATCTAATCTTATCTAATCTTATCTAATCTAAATCTAATCTAATCTTATCTAATCTTATCTAATCTTATCCAATCTTATCTAATCAAATCTAATCAAATCGAATCAAATCTATCAAATCTATAAAATCTAATCAAATTAAATCAATCAACCTATCAATCAATCTATCTATTTATCTATCTATCTATCTATCCATCTATCTATCTATCTATCTATCTATGTATCTATCTATCTAACTATCTATCAATCTATCTATCTTTCTATCTATCTTATCTAACCTATCTAATCTATCTTATCTAATCTATCTAATCTAATCTATCTATCTAATCTATCTATCTAATCTATCTATCTAATCTATCTGTCTAATCTATCTATCTACCTAATCTATCTACCTCATCTATCTATCTAATCTATCTATCTAATGTATCTATCTAGTCTATCCATCTAATCTATCTATCTAATCTATCTATCTAATCTATCTAGCTATCTAATCTATCTATCTAATCTATCTATCTAATCTATCTATCTAATCTATCTATCTAATCTATCTATCTAATCTATCTATCCAATCTATCTATCTAATCTATCTATCTATCTATCTATCAATCTATCAATCTATCAATCTATCAATCAATCTATCTATCTATCTATTGATTGACTGGGGATGGTGTATGGTGATTCGGGGATAAATAGGACTGGAAATCAAATTCAATTGGGATTAAATCTGAATTTAATTCTTCTCTAGTTTCCAACCTACTGGGCATGTATCAGAAGAATTAAAATCGAGTTTAATCCTTTTCTCAGATGTCATTCTTCTGGCAGATGGCTTTTTCTCAGATGCATTCTTCTGGCAGATGGCTGCTCAAGAGGATCGGCGGGGGCGGCGGCGCAAGCCATGGTCTCACGTGGCCACTGACGCGTTCTTGGCCGAGGAGACTCTGCGGCAAGGCGCGCAGCAGTGGCTGAAAGAGAAGAACATTCAGCACAGCACACTGACATCCACGACCTGTCAAGGCGCTGGCTGATGTTTGTGTTCTGGGGGCTGGTTGTTTGTCTACTTGCGCGGGTCCGCTTTTTGAGTTTTTCGGGGCTGAAAGGTCCAAATTCCGGACCCCCGCGGGTCGTAGTATCTGTGGATGATTCCAGGGGTTCACTTTGGTTCCGGAGAAGGTTCCGCAGAACGTCTGCGAGGCTTTGTTGCGGGGGCCCGCTTTTTGAGCTTTTTCGGGGCTGAAAGGTCCAAATTCCGGACCCCCGCGGGTCGTAGTATCTGTGGATGAGTCCAGGGGTTCACTTTGGTTCCGGACAAGGTTCCGCAGAACGTCTGGGAGGCTTTGTTGCGGGGGTCCGCTTTTTGAGCTTTTTCGGGGCTGAAAGGTCCAAATTCCGGACCCCCGCGGGTCGTAGTATCTGTGGATGATTCCAGGGGTTCACTTTGGTTCCGGAGAAGGTTCCGCAGAACGTCTGCGAGGCTTTGTTGCGGGGGCCCGCTTTTTGAGCTTTTCGGGGCTGAAAGGTCCAAATTCCGGACCCCCGCGGGTCGTAGTATCTGTGGATGAGTCCAGGGGTTCACTTTGGTTCCGGAGAAGGTTCCGCAGAACGTCTGGGAGGCTTTGTTGCGGGGGTCCGCTTTTTGAGCTTTTTCGGGGCTGAAAGGTCCAAATTCCGGACCCCCGCGGGTCGTAGTATCTGTGGATGATTCCAGGGGTTCACTTTGGTTCCGGAGAAGGTTCCGCAGAACGTCTGCGAGGCTTTGTTGCGGGGGTCCGCTTTTTGAGCTTTTCGGGGCTGAAAGATGTGAGGATGTGAGGATGAGAAGATGTGAAGATGAGAAGATATCTTAGAAGGTGTGAAGATGAGAAGATGTGAAGATGAGAAGATGTGAAGGTGTATGTGAAGATGTGAGGATGTGAAGATGAGAAGATGTCAGGATGTGAATATGTAAGATGTTAGGTTGGGGAAGATGTGAAGATGAGGAGATGTCTGCTGTCGGTCCGTCTGCTTAGCTAGCCAGCTGTCAGCTGTCTCTCTCTCTCTCTGGGTTCCTGCCTCCCTGTCTGTCCTGTCAATGTGCATTCTGGGGGGTCTGAAATTCCCGTCAAAATCCGTCCATGACAGGAATTAAATTTGAATTTAATTCCTTCTTGAAGGTCAGATGAAGAGCAGACACGTAGGAATTAAATTCGAATTTAATCCTTTTTTAAGGTCGGTGAAGACCAGACACGTAGGAATTAAATTCGAATTTAATCATTTTTTAAATTCGATTCCAAGCTTTTTTTGAATTCGATTTTCGGCCTCATCCATTCGGGGATTGTTTATAGCATTGGGTTTGCCACCTTACTCAGAAGCAGACTCTGAAGGTTGATTGGTTCAGGAGTTGCTCTTCATCAAATCTTAGGACCGATGGTGAGATTTCCGTAGCACATTCATCCCGTGTAACTTGACCATGCACACATGTCAATATCTTCCGCACATCTAATCCCATAAAATCCCATGTGATTCCACTCTCATATCTAGGAATCTCCTAGTAAACACTCATATCCCACATCAATTTCCCCATCCATATCCCACATCCATATCCCATTTCCCAGTTTTTTCTATGGTTTTCCCATGATTTTCCCATCCATATCCCATTAGAATCCCATGAATTTCCAAGGCATCAGGCCTCCATCTTGGAGGTGGTGATGTTCCTGCTGGGCACTTGCCTGGTCTTGACGGCCACGGCACCTCGGAAAAAACCAGCAAAACCATGGGAGGAGAAGCATCGAACATAGGGGGAAAACCATGGGGAAAAGTGGGACAAAACATGGGAAAATCCAGGAAATCAAGGAAAATCATGGGAAAAATATGGGAAACTCATGAGAACACATTGAAAATTCATGGGAAAATATCGGAAAATATAGGAAACGTGGAAACCCCTGTATAAGAATGTTGGGTTTAATGCGAAAATCAACCATCAACCATGGTTATTGAGGTTGATGGTTAAATCCTCAACACATCAAATCTTCCTAAGGTTGAGGATTTCACCATCAACCATAGGGAAAATCATCGAACTAATGGGATTTTTCAGTAACATCCCTTGTCATTTGACATGGCTGAAAAAACATGCCCATTTAGTTCGATGAATTGACATGAGTTACCTAAGTATCCTAAGTACTAAAGTGATGAATGTCCCTAGCTATGTGAAATTACCAGAGGGTAAGTACAGGATCATCATCCAGGATACACGGACCTGTGCGGTCCTTTGTACTGCTTGGAAGAGAACGGGAGTCCCCGGTCATGGATTGTGATTATCAACCAGCCCGGGCTTTTCAACGAGTATATCCCCATATCTTTGATGGTTAAACCCCCATAAACACCCCAATGATGGTGAAGTCCTAATGAAATCAAGAACGGATCATCAACTGATTGACTATAACATAGTATAACTATGATAATCCACAGTAAATCATGGATTCATTGAGTCACTACATATCATGGTATACCATGATAATTTACAGCACAACCATTCAATCACTATGACAGTCACCTAGCCACGGCGGCAGGCCATGCTGTACCACCCCGTGGTCCCCGTGGACGACGGCATCAGCTTGGAACCCATGGTGAGCCGCGACAGCCGCGACTCCGAAGCCTCGGCCGTGTGCTGAGCGCGACCAAAAACGGTGGCTGCTGGATGGTTTTTGGCGGAGAAATCTCGGGACAGATCTCCAGATGCAGATCACAAGGAAAGAGTTGATATTGATATCCCAGCAAGTCAGTAATTAAGTACGTTTGTAAGTAACATGTTGTGTTTTTTTTGGTGAAATTCTGTGGATGGTGGAACATGTGAGGGCCACGGAAAGATGAAGACGTTATGAGACGTTATCATATTAAGTCTAGCCCATTTCTGTAGGTACAAACACCACATTAAATTACATTAAACAAGATAATGGATGCACGGTTCCAGTGTTTGTTGGTTACAAACCCATCCAACTTTCGGTGTTTACCATGACGGCTCCCCTGAGCAGGTGAAACCTGAGCGAAAGGACATGGAGGCGTGGCTGGTTGCGGTGGTCGATGGCTTGTGACTTAGAACTCTAATGAGAGGCAAACTTCCAACAATTTCCAATCATTTTTTTCATAGTTTCCACTCATTTCTAATAATTTCAAATCATTTTTGATTGTTTCTAATAATTTCTGATCATTTCCAATCATTAACCCTCAACAAAAATGGGATCCAAGACATTATACGGTGGGCTCTGCCAGTTCTACCCAGTCAGACACCGAAATGCTGCGATTATCCCGGTCACATCGTTCCTTTTTGTGCCGTTTCATCCTATTCCGTAGTATTCCATGTTGAACTTCAGGGATGTAATTCAGGCCATACCCATACAATGCTGGTGATGGTGGTTGACCCCGAAAGTGACATGGTCTCTCGGGGATTTAGCCTCTTTTGAAGCAAAAACTTAGAATATATATATATATATATGACCGTTTGTCAAAAATAGTTGTTTAGAAGTTTATTGTTGGTTGTTGATAATTCATCTGGGTCTACTGTTTTTTCCTCTTCGTTATGAGGCGGCACGCAACTAAATTCAGCAATTCTGCAAGGCAGCGCTAGCAAACCCGCTAGGTTTGCGCTAGGTTTGATTGACAGCCATGGCCTCCATGTCGTGAATGTCTTGCCAGCATCTCTTACAAGTCTGTCAGTTTCCACATATTCCCAAATTTTCGATTTTTTTTACGTATTTCAGCGCTAGATCGCCGCTAGCAACGCGCTAGCGAAAATTGCAAATACATGCCCCGGTCCACCCGCAGCCCATTCAGAGGCACAGCCATGTTCACGCTTTGGTAGCTTACAGTAAGGAAACAGCGTTGATCAGGAGGCATGTCAAAAAGCATATGGCATTCAGAGAGGCACACACACAGAGACACACAGTTGAGGAGATAGTACCAGCGACAGCGAATGAAAACCGACGTGCGTTAGCCGATTCCCGTGGTTTTAGAAAGATTTCCAAAGGTAACGAAGAATTTCCACGTTTTCACGTCATCAAGGTAGGTCATGTTTTTTAAAGGCAAACATGAGGCGGCACGCATGGAATTGCGATTTATCAACAAAACCGGGAACAGACATTTTGACAAACCGTCATATGTATATATATAATATTATATGTGTATATAATGTGTATATATATATATATGATATATCATATATATATACACATTATATACACATATAATATTATATATATATACATAATATATATATGCACTATATATAGTTTCACGGTATTGTCAGTACATATTTCTTTCTGTGAAAATGGACAACATGCCTCTGACCCTGTTCCCAGGGCAATTGTGAGTTGGAGATCAGCTCCACCATCTTCCTACAGAACCATTCGGCCGTTCCACTGGTGGTGCCCTGGCGCTGCGGTTCGAAAGCAGAGAGGGATTCCGCGGAAAGACAAGATTTGAACGGGATGAATAAGACATATAATGCATTGTTTATGATGGTCAATGGTTGGTTGAAGGTGACTGACATTGATTGATGATGATGATGATGATGATGATTATGGTGGTGGTGGTGGTGGTGGTGGTGGTGTTGATGTATTCAGGTTTTGGGTTCGCCTTTTTGGTCCAGGGTGTTTCACTGTTTGTTTTTGCCCGTTTATGGGCACATAAGCCACAAAGAGTCCCACGAAACGGGATACCCGGACCACCACAGAAGAAACGGGTTCACCAATACGTAACTACAGTATATTACAGTATTTGAAAAGAGGAGTGGCAAGGGGACAACTCATGAATTGGCTTCAGCAAACACACTCCAACACATGAGCAGAATATCTGGGTTACTTCCTACTGATGGGCTGCGGCGGTTGCGGGTTCCATCGTCACTGCTGTAGGTCTTTCCGCTGGCAGACGATGCCAAGACTCGTTTACTGGAGGTGCGGCAGCATTTTCGTCTGGCGGATTTGAACAAAGACCTGTTACAGGTGGCAGATGGTGAGCACATCAATACAATGTATATTCATGTATAATATATTATAATATATATATATTTAATATACGTATGATATCTATAAATTCTGAAGCTACATCATATCCCGTAGGTGTTAATGGTACATCAACTGTTGCCAGGCAAGAAAGGCATGTAAAAAAAGAGTTCCGGTGGCGCTGTGTAGCAGCCAGAAATCGTTTTCCATGGCCGTTTCCCAATGACAACAATGTTCCAGTCCAATTTTGTGTGTTTTCCATATTGTGGTTAGGTGGGGTTGATTCGTATCGCATGGTATGCCAGGGCGAAGATCCTGTTCAGCAAGCCGACCTCATAGGCGGGCCAAGATATGGAATGACATGGGGACCTCAGATGAAACCTTTGGGAAATGGGGAATGAGATTATCAGTAGACTAGTAGATCTAATCGAGACAGGTGATCTAGGAACAAGATCAGGATTTTTGGCATCCGATGAATGGCAGTTTTTGGGCGGAAAATCCAAGTCCAACGGGCCATACCAGGGCTGCTGCAAAAATGCGGATGGTCGGTTGCTGAGTTCGTGGTGCTGAGAGTTGCCCCCCCAAGGAGAATATCCTTCCAGAGCTGGTGTCAGATTTTCTACATGAATCATATGGTTGGTGATTTATCCCATGAAACACACCCAGTATATCTGTCATTTTATATGTACTGGTTGGTGGTTTAAAACATTTTTTTATTTTCCATAATACTATATATGGGATAATCCTTCCCATTGACGAGCTCATATTTTTCAAGATGGTTAAAACCACCAACCAGTTTATTTATATATTATATATATACATATATACACATATAGATGTCTTAATTACTCGTCTACTCCAAAATTGGGCCACGACAATTCCTCCACTCTCAATCCACAGCCGCGCCAAGGCTGACCATTCAGCCCAACGAGGCTCCGCAAGCTGTGCCACTTATGTGGTGTGTGGCTGGGCGGCAATGGCGCAAAGCCCCCGGTTCCCGCAGGGAGTTTCGTGCGCTGCCCCCTAGAGCATTTCACCAAATGGTGATTGGCTTCTGTGCTTTTTGTTTTTGCAAATTGTGTCACTGTTTTGTTTTGATATTTTCAAGTCTTGAAACAAACCGTTTCTTTTCCATCATGCAGATTGTCAACGGCAGCCATGTCTCAGGTTCAAGGAGAACACTTGTTCTATCGTCTTCTTTCTGGTACAAATAATTGCTACAACCAATGTACTAAAGGATACTAGAGGTATCCAAAGGTACATCTCAAATTATATACAAATCATACAAAGCATGTATATTTCATGTGTATTTAATGTATAATTATGATTACTTATAAATATATCATAGATACATATAGACAGTATATAATATATTATGCGCACAAAACAAGTCAAGTACCTTGATGTATGTAATACATGCATATAAACATATATGATACTACATCGTGGATATATCAGATAGTAACAGTAAATAAACACATACATGTATATATCGCGTATGTATGATGTATAGTGATACATTGTCATTATTATTACCATTACGACTAATATTACATACTGTATATGTAATATGTATAGATCATATGATATATAATACAATATATACACATACTATCTATGATAGATGCGGTAATCCCAATGCTAGAAACTATCAATATTCTATAGCCATAGCATTCCCTTTATATAACCATCATAATAATGATGATATGTATATACACATATATACATATGATTATATAGGTATGGTTTCTAAATATAAACCATCAGATAATAATGTGATCCCCATTATTATTCTCATTATCATCCCTATTATCATCCCCATTATATGGTACTCCCATTTTAATGATTCTGTATTTATCATATAATCACATATACTTATTATTGTTATACTATGTAAATCCCATTATCTTATCGTATATTTACTATACACCAGAAATGGGAGTAAACATGTGATTAATGGTATATAATCGCACTATCCCATAATCCCATTATCCTATTATATATGTTATATAATCCCATTATCCTATCATTACTAATATCATGACGGTTATATACCATATTACTATTACTATCATTACTATTATCAACCATAATCAATCATATAGTTACTATACCATTTACACACGATATCCCATTATATGGCATTTAAACACCATATCCCATTATACATACTATTTATTATATACTTTACAATATACATGTAATATATTTACTATCCCATTAACCTATTATGGTTGATATCCCATTACTATACCATTCTTACAATGTTGTAATAGTGGTATAATAATGGGATATTATTGGGGATATTAACCATTTACTATCCCCATCATTATGATAATAGTTGATAATTATCATTTTGGGGATATCAACCATGCTAATATCCATACTATAATTTGGGGATATTAACCATTTACATCATTTATTACACAATCATGGTTGATATCCCCCAAATTGGTCATCATACCATAATCATAATCAACTACATATTTACTGTCATATTATTATATCATATTATTATATCAAACTTTTAATATTATAATATCAATCATGATTTATCCTGTAAATATATGATATTATCCCATTTGGTTAATATTACCATACTATTAAATTATGGGCCATGGGATTATCATGGGACATGATCAACCACTACTATTACCCTCTGGTAAACTAACATAACTATGGAAAACCCACCATTTTTCATGGGTAAATCCACTATTTCAATGGCCATTTTCAATAGCTTTTTGTATGTTTACCAGAGGCTATATCATATTAAATCCCATTAAACCACATTAAACCACCATAAAATCCCATTAAATCCCATTAAAATCCCATTAAACACCGTTGGATGAACCAATGGGATATCCCCCAGTTTTCACCAACACCTTCAACGGCTGTGTCGAGGTCTCGGAGCGCGTCTTCCGCGCCTTGAGCGAGGCGCAGCAGGTGGCGCAAGACATGCTGACCGAGATGGTGCCGCGCCAGCGAAATGGCGTGGGGCACCCTTTTTTGGGGGGGGGGAACTTCTTGGAGAGATGGTGGATTTATATGAATTTATAGCTGATTATAGGGATTTTTCCTATGATTTATCTGATTTCTATGGATTTACTGATTTATATGATTAATACAGATTTATGGCTGGTTTATATGATTTATATTGATTTACAGCCGGTTTATTTCGATTTACAGGTGCCTTATGGCTGATTCTAGTGTTTACTGTAGATATTTTTTCAAGTGTCCATAGATTTAGATTAAACTGGGAGAAATACGGAAAAAACATGAGGGAATTCCTTGAAATGGGATTTTTTTGAGCTACAGCCAACCGTTTTAGGAGATAATGGGACATATCATCAACAATGAATTGGGCTTTGTCGCTGACCCTATTTTTGGGCACAAACATAAGAAGAAATGCGGAACAACAAGAATATGCGGGGTATGAGCAACTACTAAACATGCACGATTTACCAACATTGAAGGGGTAATTTCTGGGCGAACACAGCATAGATTAGATTGGATGTTAACCGCTATAATCAAAGATGATCAAACATAGGTAGTTCAGAAATTTCACAAAAATCATGCGTTCATCATGGCTTGGTGATCACTAATCGCATTCGCAATATGACATTTGGGTCTAGTTGGGTAAATCTCAGCAGCCTCAATGGCGGGATTTTCATGGATCCAAATTAGTGCCATGGATTTTTGGTTGGTGAAGAACCAGAATCCAAAACATGGCACATCACCAACAGGTTTTTTCGCCCGTCCTTTTTTTTTTTGCCCCGGGACATCACCCTCCACTTGAAAGAAATTGGAAAAGAGGAAATCCACCATTTGTAAATGATTTACTTCTCCACAAGAAACACTTGTCTTCACAGTAATTTTCAAATCCAAATCGCGGGGGAAGCTTTGTTCAACATTTCTCTTGAACAATTATATATATTAATATATATATATATTTGTCTTAGCATCAATGACCCTTCATTTCTGGAAATTTATGACTGAGGAAAGTCAGCCGGGTGGCTTATCTAAGCTACTAGACGAGGACTCACAGGCAAACCCGGGAAAAGGGCCAAGTAGCGTGGGCAGGATGGCACCTGTTCTTTTGCGTGTGTTGGCATGTTTTATTTTTATTTTTTTTTTTTGTGTAGTATATATATATAATCGTACAAACATGTGCAAATGTACACATATATATATATACACATCTGTATATGAATGTAGTTGGCTACAGTTACATGCATGATAGTTGATATGATCGCGGGTTGTGGATTATTGGCGGTAGAACCGCAGATACGTGTGGTAATTGGCCATATCATGCCATATCGGACCTGTGCAGTCGGTGCACATGCATGCAACACAACAAGTTTAGTTAAACATAACAAGTCATCAGTTCTTTGGCTACACCGCTCGTCAACATTTTGATTGCAGGATCATCATCTTGATTGATACTACGCATAATGTGGCAAATCCAACAATGAAGCATCCCCAATTTTGCCATACATGGGTGGGCACTCAGCATCTGATCTCGAGGCTTGGCATGAAAATATGGAGCAGAAGGTGGCTGATGCTGTTCAGAAGGGCGCTGGCATGGCTTTTGCCGAATGTGCCTTGGCGACGAATGGAGTTGGAAAAATGGGGACCGATATTTATGTTGGAAATTGAAATGGGGAGAACAAACAGGCTAGGCATACATACATATTACATACATATACCCGACATACCCAGTGATGGTCCAAAAGGACCCCCAGGTTTTGGGGCCGTTGGGTCCCCAACGGTCCCTGGAGCTGAGGTCAAGAAAAGAAGAAACCTTTAAGGCCATGGTGCTGCTCATTGTCAAGCTTGCAAGAGGCCGAAATGGCACTGGGGAACTGGTGGAAGTGTGGGAACCGAACGTTTGCTGGAAGGGTAGACCGGGTAGACACGTCATAGCTGTAGAATTTTTTAAGGAAACTAGAACTTGCCATACTTATCTACCACTTATGAATCCTGGGACGCACATTGAAGTATGCTTCAAGATCAATCGGAGTGTCTGGTCGTTTTTCTTTCTTTAGGGTTCCATGGATGATTCATGTCAGTGCCTCTTTGCCAGGCGGTTAAATTGAGACACTTTCGCTTCCACTGTCCTCCAAAGTAGATCAAAGTAGGGGACTTGCTGGTTCTTGTGCAAGAATCATGGCTTCTTGAGGCTCGTGGCGGCAGACCATATACTGATGGATCCTATACGTAGTCTCTCTGCAAGCTGCAGGACCTAAGACTAGCGGACAGCTATATCTATAGTTACTATATAGTTTGATGGGTGAACGTGAAGCAACTTGTCAATGGGGGGTGGCCACTTTGTATCAATAAGTCCCTCAGGCAGGATTATATAAGTTTATATGTACACGAATATGGATTGTATTGCATATAATGAATGATATCATAGATAGAATGATTCAACAATACGATGGTCATCATCATATACACAGTAGTTATATAGTTAGACTGTTGCTCCCCCGTCTTTCTCATCTAACCGCCCACATTATTATACAAGCAAATTCTATGGGGTTAATACCAAAGACAGGGGAGCAACACCTTATAGAAAACAATAACATAAATCAAAACAACAAACAACAAAACAAGAAAACTCAAACAACCTAAACACTACAATAGATTATAAAAAAGACTATACCATAAATCATAACAAAAAACAATTTCACTTTTATAATTTTGAAATTATAAAATGAAATTTATGTTTGCTGTTTCTTCCAGTTATCCAGATGCTTTGTTGTTTGTGTGTGTCTCTTGTAATTCTTACATTGAATTTCACAATCATCACATACAGGGCAGGTCATCCATTTTATTTTAGCATTCACTTGTTCAATGTTTTCTGCTCTATGATTTCTTCTTCTTTCATTTATTTCTTCCCTGTGTGTCCTACCATAATTTCTAGCATATTCCTTTGCCTCCTCTATATGATTGTAATAATACTCTCTCCTCCTTTCATTATATTTTTCTTTGTTCTTCTGATGATTTTGTCTCATATATTCTCTACACCTATCACAAGTTTTGTATTTACCCTCCTCCATTTCTTTAAAGCATTTAGCACATTTGATTTTATTATCTTCCATTACCCTACTATAGATAGGAAATATCTTTTTAAATACCAATCCCATCTTAATATAACCCACCCAGATTATCATACAACAAAATCATAAGGGCCAATACCTATGACGGGATTGCCATAACCTCATATAATTTAACATAATCTATAATATAAATCATAACAAACAAATAAAAACAAAAAACAAAACAACCTAAACAATACACAAAATAATAAAAAAGACTATACCAAAAACAAGACAACAAACAACAATACATAAAACTCTATAAGCATAACCTTACCCATCTTAACATAAATCATAATAACAAACAACAACAAACAAAAAACCAGACCAAGCAAAGAACAATATAAAAACAAAACAATAGACCCAAATAAAGATTTACAATAGTCAATATCAAAGAATGGCAAACCCTCCATAAATGGTTGCTTCTTCAATAAGCCCGTTTGGGGATTTTCTATGAACCATACCCTCGGCTTGAAGTATTTGATTATCTCAAGAGTTTTCATTACTATTTCATTTGCTTGTTCAATCTTCCTTACCCCAGTTTGTTTAGCAATGCCATACTCAACACACGGGGGTGAAGCCCAAATCATATCCCAGTATTTCACTGGATATTTTTTGTATTTCCATTGTAGTATGTCACGGCAAAGCCTTGAGGATGACTGTAAGTCATATTCACAGTTTATATCAGCCCCTTTCAAATCTAATGACACAACAGTCCAGCCCATATTTTTAGCTACACATCCAACACTACCAGTGCCACTAAACAATTCTAACAATTTCATAATATTATTTGAGAAAAAAATATTATGAAACCTCAATCAATGAGTTTGAAAACTTCCCCATCCCTTTCAATCTTGTAATACTCAAGAGTTTGAGCCTTTGGCATTTTGATTTTTCCTTCGTTCAGCATTTTCAGATACTGCTGTTGCTTGGTTTCAAAAGTGCCGACAGGTCTGCCGATTTTTTTAGCCTCAAAGATTTTATCCATCCTTTCTTTCTCAGCATCAGCATCATTATCATTACTTGATTTATTTTTCACTAATATATCAAGTTTTTCTAATGCCTTGTTCATTAAGTCCATCAATGTTTTGACATTCTTGTTATACCTAGTCATCTTATTCAGCATCTCTGCCATCGCAGGCTGTTTATCATCTAAATCAGACATTTCTATATATAATTATTTAGATATTTATTTATTTAGCAGTTCAAAGTGTGTTAAAATCACTCTCTAAATATGTTTCAATCCATATCATTTATTGCCATTTGTTGTTTGCTACTGCTACTGCCACTTCTGGGGGTTGTGGGTTCTTTTGAACCCCCAGCACCTCTCGGTGTGCCCATTACATCACTTATCATCTTGTTTGTGCTCTCGGTTTTGTTGTCTTCAGGGGTGATTTGCCGGTTCCACGAAAAGCTAATGCTGTGGTCTTCACTCTCTAAAACTATCTCCCCGTTGTCATCCCTGCTGACATTCATTGTCTTGTCATTTTTACTGATTTTGAAACTACACGGATTACACTTACATTTTATTCCCTTGGGGTTGATTTCAATTTCATTTCTCAATTGTAATTTACAATGACACAGTGGGCAATCAAAGGTGATAAACTTGCTTGTTAGTTTTTGTTCCTCATCCAGATTTATTGTGGTGGGTTCTTCATCTGATAGTTCAAAATCTTCAGGGATTGTTTCTTTTGGTATTTTACTACTCATCTTTGGTTTTGCTTTTGTGGGTGGCATTTATATGATACTTAAGATAATTTATTATTACTTTGAGAAACTCCAGCATTACCCTGAATATATGTTTAAGTTTATTATCTCTTACAATTGGAAATTTAGTATCATCAATGACACTATCTTCAATCACATCTATTGTATTAATATAACTATCATATTCACTCATCCTATATAATTAGATGTTAAAATTATTACTATCTAATTATATATGGATTTTTAGGCGCAAACAAAAATCCATAAGGGGCGGTAGGTAAATGTCAAAGAAAATGAACTGTGCTGATTGAAACATAGCATCAAACAAATTCAAGAGCAAAAAGGCTTCAACATCTTCTACTGCTTGTTGTCATAGCAAAAAGAGACCGTGTCGGGAGTGAAAAAGAAGCAAGAGCCAAAGGGGTGTATTTTTTTTATTTTTAATTAACTTTCTTATGAGGGGCAATATGGCAGTCTGTCCCAAATTTCACCTGACCCCAATACTCAAAGGTAAAATTTGATATGCCATTTACAAGATATAATATATTTTATTTTCTAAATAATTTATATTATGTCAAAACTTGCTGTTCCTAAAATAGAGCCTATCAATGTAAAACAGTATGAATTCAAACAATCACCATACCCACAAGCAGACAAACTACCATTCAGAAGCATCATTGTATCGGCATCACAGGGCGGAAAGGGTATATTAATTCAAAACCTCATTCTAAAAATCTACAGGGGATGCTTTGAGAGAATATACATTGTATCACCGACAGCCCACATAGATGAAGCATACAAAGAAGTAATCCGATACATAGAGAAAGAATTAAAAATAGACAACAAAAAAGAGCAATATTTGTTTGATGAGTATGACCCTGAAAGTCTGGCACACATCATAGACACACAGCATAAAGTGATAGAATACCAGAAGAAAAATAAAATGAACAAGTTATATAGTTGCCTGTTAGTAGTTGATGATTTCGCAGAAGATAAGACATTTATGAGATATAGTAAAATCCTTCACGGCTTATACACAAAATCAAGACACTTTGGATTATCAGTCATAACTGCCACGCAGAAGTATAATGCTTTAAGTCCTATAGTCAGGTTAAATTCAAGTAGCCTTTACATCTTCAAACTGAAAAATCAATCAGAACTTGACACATTCATTCAAGAGCAGTCAGCCCTGATTGATAAGAAAACCATAAATGAAATTTACAGAGTAGCCACTGAAGAGCCCTACTCATTTCTATTTGTAAAGTTGAGAGAGAGTGATATAAATAAAATCTTTATGAACAGATTTGAAGCGGAAATCCATATTCAATAATATTACTTCAATCAGAATATTATTAAATCAAACTCCAACTACAAAGTTGAATAGCAGGTAGTTTATACATAATCTTATCAGACTTTTCCTTGTTTAATTTTTCAATTTTGCTATTGATTTCTTTTAAGGCTTTTATTTGTAATTTATCTATCCTACTAATATCTAACTCTTCTTCATTAATTTTACTCAATTCTTGAATACAACCGTTCTCAACTGTAGATTGTTTATGTCCCATATTTATAGGTTTATATTTTAATTTTCTTTGCTTTTTGCTTTAGCCTTTGCTTTCGCTTTACCTTTACCTTTCAATTCTTTTATCTCCTCCATCATTTCAAACATACAAGCCTCTAAATGCTCAATCTTTTGTTGTTGCTCCCTCACAGCGCCCCATAAAATAGAGTTCATCTTGACATAACTTAATTTCTTAATACCATCCACTTTCACAAGTATATTTTCAACTTTTTCTGGTATATTTTCTTCTACCTCCTCTGCTATAAAACCTATATGAGTTTTAGTTATTCCCATTTCTTTTTCTTCTTTCATTTTGAAAGTATGAGGTTTAATGCTATTTACTATTTTTGTAAAATTGAAGTTTGCTTCTTCAATATCATATTTTTTATCTTTTTTGCGATGTATCCACTAAATCCCCTTCTAATGTATAAGGTGCTGGAACAGAAACTTTTGATGGAGTAACAAAAAGTCTTATG